AATCATGTATTTTTCTATTATATTATATAATAATCATTGCTAATACCAACTAACAATAATTCACAATATATATAAATTACATAATTATAAACAATTTTTTCAAGTTATTTATGTTAATATTATCTTTTTCTTTTGTATCTCATGAAAAAATTTCTTTAAAAACAATTAGTAAATTATTTTAATAGCTCAGTCAAACAACTTTAGAACTTTATAAACAATTATTTTTTAATAATAATAATCAAACTGTTATTATCTAATGACTATAAACAATTGATCATAATAAGAAAATCGTTAATTATTTTTCCTAATCAAGATTTTGAAAATGTAATATATTCATTATCTTTAATTTTAATATTAAGTTCTCAAATATTACTTATAATATTTTATGTACATTTGTGCATGTGCACATGATATCTACTAGTTGGATTAAGAATGAACTACATTATCAACTACTGTCATCAAGTAGACATGTCATTAATTGCTAGTGTGTGTTTATTGGCATCCTGTTGTGTTAGAATCATGGTTCTCAAAACTGAACCGGTCATTGAATCAGTGAAGCTACTCGTTCAATGGTTCACTGATCAGACTAGTTGTCGAACCGATTTAATTATTATATAATTTTTATTAGTTTTGTATGTATAATATATAATTCTATATATTTTTATCATTAATTTTTTAGTGTATATTGACATTTTTATAAATATATAAAGGAAAAAATAAATAAATAGTCGTGCATATTCTAACTATTTTAGTTGAAATGCTTGATTCCAAGTGTAGGTTTATAATCATAGGTATTATTTTATTTTTTCATTTTTTGGGAAAATATTTTTTTATGGTTTTGGGCATGACAATATTCTTTAAGAGTTTTTGAAGGCTTTGTTTACTTTTTCAAGTAAAGGTCAATAAGGCAAAAAGCCCAATAATTTCAAGCACTAACAAAAAAATTAAGCTAACAAATGTTTCAGCTACAAGGCAAAAAAAAAAAAAAAAAAGTTGGTTGCAATTGTTTGTAAACCATGGCCCAATAACGTTAGTTGTAACGTTTGTAAACCAAAGGTACTGGTTTACCAGTTTTACCGGTTCTTGACCGGTTGAAACGATTATTGACCGGTTTTGCACCCTAGTGGTTGCATGCCTCGAACCGAGACCGATTCTATTTAGTTCTTCTTCTTCCTTGTCGTGTTGCATGCATAAATAGACTGGTTGTACGTTGTTTTCATTGATTTTTGATGAAATGATATGAGATTAGAAAATCCCAAAATATCTGGTTCTAGAGATTTGCGATTTTACATGGTATCCGAGCAATCGATCCTGAAATTCCTTGAGTTTTATTTGAGCTACTTGAGCCAAGCTTCGATCCAGCGCAACAATGGCGATGAGGCGTGAAGGTGCTTTCAATGTTACTGAATCCGATGCGAGGCAGGGAGTGCCTCCGAACAGAGATCCATTCTTCCTCCATGGATCAGACAACCCTGGACTGATGCTAGTCTCAAATCAATTGACTGGTAAGAATTTTCTTTCTTGGAGAAGATCAATGACTATAGCTTTGGGTGCTAAGAGGAAACTAGGTTTTATTAATGGTGATATAGCACAACCTGATGTTGATGATGATGAGTATGATGATTGGAAGAAGGTTGACTGGATGATTTTATCGTGGATTTTGAATACGTTATCGAAGGATATTGCTGAAACATTTGTATATGCTGAAACATCTAAGGATCTCTGGGATGAGATTTGCCAAAGATATGGAGAAAACAATGGACCTATGCGCTATAAGGTGCAAAGAGAGATAAACACTCTAACTCAAGGTCATAGTACAGTTATGGAATATTTTAGCAAAATGAAGAAGTTATGGGATGAATTTGCTTGTGTTGTTCCCTCTCAGATCTGTAACTGTCCTAAAGGTCAAAAGGCAGCTCAACTTGAAGCTGAAACCAAACTAATGCAGTTTCTTATGGGATTGAATGATAGTTATGATCATTTGAAAAATCAGATATTATTGTTTGATCCTTTGCCTAGTATTAACAAGGCATATTCAATGGTACTCTCGGCAGAACGGCAAAGATCTGTTACAAACAGTTTTGATAACATAGAAAATATGGCCATGACTGCAAAGTATGAAGGATATGGCAGGGGACAAGTGGGACAGAATAGAAGTTTTGGTGGAAGAGGAGGTAACTGGCAGAGTGGAAGAGGTAGAGGTGGTGCTAGGTTAAGTAAAGAAGAGAGGACAAAGCTACTGTGTGACAAATGTGGTATGCATGGCCATATAATAGCCACATGTTTTAAAATACATGGGGTGCCAGAATGGTACAAGGATTTGAAGGTGCAGCAAGCCAAATCTTATGCTAATAGTGCTGAGACCTATGAGGATGAAGAACAATGGGGAGTGAAAGCACCTGAGAGAAAGAGTTCAGCAGACAGTAAATTATCATTGGTTGTTAAACAACTACAAGAAATCACTCAGTATATAAAGGGAAAGGAGAATCTAGATGGACAGGTAGATTATGCTCAAATGGCAAATATTGGACATCAAAGAGAGGATGATGGAGTTCACTTTGCTCTAACTATAGCCGAAAATTTGAGCAGTGGTGTATGGATCATTGATACTGGAGCAAGCAGGCATATGTGTGGTGATCTTAACATCATGAGCAATATTTCAGTTTTGAAAGAACCTGTCTCAGTTTGCTTGCCAGATGGGTCACACAAAGGAGTGAATATTGGAGGAACAGTTGCAGTAACTAACACACTTACCTTGAAAGGTGTTCTTTATGTTCCAGGGTTTAAATATAATCTTCTCTCAGTAAGCCATCTTTGTGTAGATGC